AACCCGGGGGGCCCCGGGTGAGTCCCTCCTTCCGGTGGCCCCCGCCTCCCTTCCTAGGATGGTGGTTTGGCTGTCTGGGATCCATCCTTGGAGGGGGTCCCGTCACGTTTGCCCAGCTCCACCTTCCTCTCTTCTCTTTCCTCACACTAGCCTAGCCCTTGCACTGATTACACTATTCAACACACCTGCCCCTCTTCCCTGATTACTCACCAGCTGCACCTCATTAGTCTCCTCCTACTTATACACTGTTCACCAGTCACTCCCCTGCCAGTTCTTTCTCTGTCTTCAGGCCAGTGGTTGTTTTATCAAGTTTATGCTAAGATTGTCTTTGTTCTCTCTAGTCCTTGTTAGCACCCTAGTCGTTATCCTGCCCCTCTAGTGTCTTCTTCCTCTTCGAACCTCTCCTCTGGACCCCCCTGGATTTAATCTACACCACCAGCCACCGCCTCCCAGGTCGATGCACAGCCTCCTTTACCCAGTTTATCCCTGCTCTTCTGTCTACAGCCATCATCACCTCTACCTCGACCAGCCCAGGAGTGACCTCTGCGTCCGCAGCCCGGTACATCATCATCCACCATACCACTGACTGTTTTTCTGCTGCTGCTGATCGACACCCGGTCATCTACCTCATTACTCCTCCTGTATATATGTCACTACCTTCACTGTAAATAAACCTCACTGCTTGCACTGAAGCCAGCCACCTGGGTCCGCTTTTTATCTGCTCGCTCACTCTGTGTTCGAGCGCACCCTAACAGACACAGCAACTTTTGGAAAAGCGGGACATAAACTTGTGGCAAAAATATATTTATTATAAACATCCATGCTTTTCAAGAAAATCAATAACTAATTAATGAGCATAAAAGCCAGGTAGAAAAGCAGCATGGATAACATATTTCATGGCATTAATCTGCAGTATTTAATTGGCATTCACCTATGGTTATCAGTAAAGTTCCCCAGTAAATGTTGTGCATTATGTCTTCACATAAACATCCAGAAAAACACATTTGTGACATATATAGAGTTTTCTTTAGCACATCTGGAAGAACATACTCAAGAATGTACACACCAAATGATCAGACTCCGACGTTCTTACCGTGAGCACCAGTTTTGTCAATAAAATTGCTGAGGTTGAACAGGGAGGTCCTGGAAGCCAAATACTGAATGAACCTCTGAGAAAACAGAGACAGAGAATACAATGGACAGGCTTGTACCTAGTGTATCAAGGGCAGTGAAGGAACAATAAATAAATAAACAGACAGATAGTCCTCAGTCATCCCTGCACTCATGGGATCAATTTGATCACTCCACAGTAGTAACACTTTACTACACATTCGGATGATAATTTACCAAATCCAATTTTAGTCAGTGCCATTATTTACCCTAAAGAAGAAAGAGTAACAAATTAAATGTAGCTTTCATATTTATCTTAACTTGCTGAATGAAAGTGAAAATATTAGTCTGTATAATATTCACAGACCTCATTGCCATAGACACACATGTGATGAGTGGTGACAAGGGCCTTGAAGACGACCACCCAGCTGGCATTGGTGGCTCGCTCAAACAACGTGTCAGCCATCTGAGGGATGTTCACGTTGGTGGTATTGGTGGCTGACACCAGGTCTGCAGCAAAGACACAAAAAAGCATCATCACTCACACAACAGTCAGATAAAACTGTCCATTGAAGACATGTGGAAGTCTGAAGGTATGAAGTGTTTTCTAGTTTGGAAAGGTGATGATTAGTTTGTCCTTAGACAAATGCTGACATAATTAGAATAGCTTTGATTAAACTTTGATTAAGTGAGACGGCAGAAGTGTTCACTGCAGAGTCGCTTGAGACACCAATAGGACTGTTAGGCCAAGAGGAAGACCTGATACACATACTAAATGATGTTGGTGTCAGCCCACACACACATGCACACACACACACACTGACAATGCAGAAAGAGAGAATAAAGCTTTGTCATCTCTCCACCCTGGATAGCAGTTCTGTTCAGACAGACAAAGAAGTCTCCAGCAGCAAATGTCCAGACCAAGGCATACACAGTCATATACACAGACATATTAGCATGTACATGTAGCTTGATAGATGTGCATTTCACATACTGGCTAAGAGTGTTAGCACTGGCTAGCCTGTCTTCTGGCATAGGTGGATTTACCTGAGGTTTGCATACAGCCTAATATCAACCATGATTTTTTAAAATAGATAAGAGGATTAGAAATTAATTATTTGAGAAAGATAGATTGTATTTTACAGTGAAATATACTGCAGAATGTTTGCCATACACTAGAGATCCAAAAACATATTTGGCATACATGACACACATTTAAAGAAGGGCAGATCTTGCATTTGTTGTGAGTACATTGGTGGTAAAATATGAACAAAATAACAATTTCTTTTAACATTCTTAAATCTAAAACATTTCATATACCTTTTGTGTCTGTTCCCCTGACACTGCCAGCTAAACAACAAGGTCTGACTAAGTGTATCCATAAGGAGCGCCAGAAACTGATGCAGCAAATATTGGCAGGCGACTCCAGTAATGGAAGAAAAGCAAGGCCATTATATTGAACAGGCCTTGGCCTTGCCACAAGTAGGCAGATGCCAAGCTGTAAAGTCGAGCAAAAATACAGCAAGGTCATTAGCAAGGGACGGCAGGAAGAAAGAGAAAGTGCTGACATTCTAAGGGATAGCAGCGAGCTGGATGAAAATCAAACATTTTGACATGAATGTGTAAAAAATAAAGAAATGTGGGAGTCACAGCAGATGCATGGGGGGGTCAGGGGGTTGTAAACAGATTACTACTAATCACTGATCCTTCTGTGGTGGCCATTTAACTGCTCACCCCCCTTGTACAAAATAAACAATATCTGCATTGATGGTCAAACTGGAATTAAATAGCAAATGGATTTAAAAACGTGAAATTTTTTCATGTATTTTAAGTTAACAGAGTAATCAAAGAGCTTCTTCTTATCTCTTTGAAATGAATTATATTTCAGTCTCTGGCTGTAACAGCCACGCTGCAACAAGTCTGCTGTTTTATGTTTAATGATGGCTGCAGTGAGTCATTTTCCCACTAGGACTCCTCTCTGTTTAGATTTGATTTAGTTTTTTCTATGACACCTCTTCACCTCATTGGCATTTATAATCTAAAGGAGTAGTTTCTCTCTTTCAGATTTTTGATTATTTTTATTCACTGATTTTACTGCCTTTTTGTTTGTCCCTCTTTTAGCCTCACCTAAAGTCTTATCAAACAACACACAAAGTGAGACATGGTCCACAATCACTAAAGTGTAATTATATGATACATCTACAAGTTAAGATCATACTAATATCAAGAACACCGCTCATAATACCTACTAATAACTCTGTAGGTAGTTTTGTTTTTATGTGTTTACTGGTGTTTAATGTGTTGCCATATGGGCCCTACCATAGGTTATAATCCCTGCTTCCTGTTGCGGTATCATTACCAGACACACACATACATTCCCACACATGTGTATGTGTGTATATTTAATGAGGATTGTCTGAGCTAAATAAAGGCTTATGGTAATCCGCAGTTCAACAGGAGAGTTCTAAAAATGAACTGCAAGGCCTCATACTGTGTGTTTGTGTGTGACTCTGTCTGTGTGTGGCTTTTTCTAGTCTGTCTGCTCTTTTAATTTACTGTATGGTTACACAACAAACCCCTCTAGTAGTAGCCAGAATATTCCAGATGAAGTCACGTGTTTACACTGAGTTAATGTGCAGATTCATTTGAATATCTGTCAGTTATCAGCTATTTACAATTGAACAGAGCTTCTCAGATGATTTCACACCAATTTACACCGTGGATGTGTCTGGAATCACTCAGATGCTCAGTTATTCACTACTCCCACTCTCAGAAGTTTACTCTGTAGTAAGTAGTAAACTTAAACAAGTCTAGACTTGGATGACTATTAATTCTCACATCTATAGTTTGATAGCACAATGCAAACATTGTTGGAAATGCTGAGGTTATTATATAGCACATACATTCTACACTCAGAGTGCAGCTGGTCAATTCATGAGAATTCAATGAGACAGTTATTGCTTTAATATCCAAATATTACATCAATGGAGGGGAACAACTAACCTGACTCAGTCTGAAGAGTACAAATTCCACCTACCAGTACCTCTAAAGACCATAGTTTAACATTTTATTCCTCATAGTGGTGACAAAAGTTAAGGATTTTAATGCCACTGTCCAAGAAATAACCTGGCACATAAACCCATGTAAATCAAAAACTTGTCATCGGATAAAGTGAAATTGATAGCTAACAATGGGTCGGTTAGTGGCTGCAGCTTTATATTCACCAGACAGATATGAAAGTGCTATCAATCTTCTCATCTAACTCTAAGTAAAACAAATAAAAATGTTGAACAATACTTCATACTTCTTAAAGACATAATGTAAAAGCCATATGATAAGCTACTGTACAATTCATGTACATGGGGACATCAACTTCTTGGTCAGGTCAGTGCATCAATTGCTCTGTTAAAAACAACTATTTCTACACCATGGATATTTTCTATGTGACCTCAGATGAAGTCAGACCTATTGCCTTGGGTGTTGAGCAAGTTGTGCTCTTTCAGCTGACCTTGTGTAGACTACATGTTCTCTACAAATTAGTAGCACAGGCCCTGACTAAATAAGCACAAATATAAAAAAACAACAACAGTGGAGTGTGTTTTGCAGCTAGTATTGAAAGAAATCAAATGTACTTGTCAAGGCCAAAAGGGAAAAATTACTGCTCTTCATATAAAAAAAGGTTTTGCATATTTGTGGGTCAAATGGTAACTGTGATTTAATAGTTTTCTACACACAAAATGACAATAACGGTAACACAAACATCAAATCTATACATTCTATATGACTGTCACTGCACTCTAGACATGACAGGCCTAATCCTTCTCATTGTTTCCCTTTGTCATTACAGTGCCATCCCCTGACGCTCACTATCTGTTGCCCTGGCAACCACACTGCACCACCACCGCCGACACACACCCACATCCACCCCAAGGGTCACAGTGACTATGACAAAGGAATAAAAATGATTCACTGGGTATATATGTATAGAGTCAAACATGCTGAATGGTGGTTCATTACTTTAGTGGCCTTTACTTGTACCCTTTACTCAAATACTGTGCTTAAGTACAATTTGGATGTATTTGTACTTTACTTGAGTATTTACATTTTATGCTACTTCATATTTTGACTTTACTACATTTCAGAAGCACACACACTATGATACTTTACTTACTTTACCATACTGCCCTACATTTATTTGATAACTTTAGTTACTTTACAGAATCAAAACAAAACACAGTATAATGATGTGACTTTTTATCCTTGGTGGGAAATTCAGAACATACAATACCAGCAGTATTTCAAATTATAAACATATAAGGTAGTTAAACATTTCACCTTTACCAGCTGCAACAGTCGAGTGCTGTACACAGTACTGCATGAGTACAATAATACAAGATATGTTATTCTGAAAATGAGTCATTCTGGATAAGGATGGTACTTCAAGTATATTTTGATCCTAATACTTTGGTTCTTTTACTTGAATTAATTTTTGAATGCAGGGTCTTTATTACTTTTACACTGTATTGCTACCTTTGTTATAAGAACAACCCCAGGTTTCTTTTCAGCACTGTAGCCAGGCTGACAAAGAGCCACAGTGCTGTTGAGCTTAACATTCCCTTAGATCTCAGCAGCAATGACTTCATGAGCTTCTTTACAAATAAAATCACAACTATTAGAGAAAAAATGGGTCGAACCACTCCCACAGCTCTCGCAGATGTGCCATCTACTACAATGGCTTTAGAAACATCTGTAAGACCTCATTTATACTTGGACTACTTCTCCCCTATAGATCTCTCTGAGTTGACCTCAACAATTGCTTCATCTAAATCATCAACATGTCTCCTGGACCCCATCCCGACCAGGCTGCTCAAAGACATCTTTCCCCTAATCAACACATCCATACTAGATCTGATTAACCTCTCTCTATTAACAGGCTATGTGTCATGATTCGGTCCAGCTTTTATTTTGACGTTGCTTCCTGTTTTTGTTTTCACCTTAGTTTCGGTCTTTTTACGTTCTTCATCACTCGCATTAGTTTCGCCTGCTCCTTATTGTTTATACCTCTATTTAGGCAGCGTCCTCCCACAACGGCGCTGCCAGATTGTTCTAGACCGCAGCTCTGACTCTCCAGCTTTCCTTCGGTTTTGTATCTTGTGTTTCTGACCCGGACTGTTACCTTGGTATATTCGTTTCTGCTTTGCCCTCTTGTCTCAGACTGCCACAGTGTATGATATCGGACTTCCCTCTGGACTACGTATTTTGGATCACCTCTGTTGGATGTGTTTGCTGGCTCTGACCTCAGACTGTTAAGGACATG